CAGAGCCCAACAATCAGCAAGCATAGAACTGTAGCAAGATACTGTAGCATGGTATTGTCGGAAGTTACTGTAGTAAGATACTATAGCAGTGATTTTTGTGCCCTAGATCAACAACAAAGCCTATATCTCACTGATTTCAGCAAGTTTTACTTGATCATCTGCCTAGGGTTGTAATTTCGGCAATCCCATGGAGGCAAGAAGGGGCCGTACAAGGGAGGGTTTTGTAGATCCGTTTCGTGATCCCAAAGATGAGAGAATTGAGAAACTTGAAAGGTAAGTACAATAGCTGATACAGCAGTTCGCGAGCCTAATTAATGGCCAAGAGGATCTAAAGTACAAGCCTTTTCATTTTCACGCTCCATGTGTAGAGTCGACTGATAAGGATAGCAACCGGAGACCTAGACGTGGGTTGCATCACTCTAGGGTTTTTAATTTGAAGGATGAAATTTTTTATTTTAACACAAATTGCATGGAAAGTCAGCAAGTTGTATATTGGGATTCACCACCAATCTTTGATATACTCAAATGAACAACAAGATTTCTTAGGAGATCTGATCTATAATAAGGATCAAGATGATGGTGAAGATATTTTGGAAGAGGGTGAAGAATATAGAGAGAAGACAGCAGGAAGACTAATCAAAATCATGCCCATTGAAGCTCTCAATAATATTGAAGAGGTGGAGCGTTCAACAAATTTTGGGCATTGGAATCAAAGTAGTGCAGTAGAAGTGTAGTCGACTCAACCACAAATTATGGCCCTGATTTCATAAAGTGATAAAATAGATGTCAAGAATACCTCTAAAGGGCAGAAAATTGAGTTTGCAGTATCTTACATGACTTCCAATGGGATTTCACAAATAGCCGAATTTGATAAATTTGCATCGATTCGTCAATATGCATATCTAGATCCATTTCTTAAGGAATTCTTTTTACCATAAATAATATTTAAGCCGACAAAGAAAAAGAAAGTTGAATTCATCTTAGCACACTTCAAAACTCGAGGACGAGTTTTCTCCAACTACGGGAGAATGACGAAGGGCAAATTATCCTTATTTTTTATTTTATTCAATTTCATAGGATGTATATTATAACTCTAGTTTTAGGGTTTATTTCTAGAAGTTGGTTTTTTAAGAATTCTAGGGTTTTTATAATTTTTTATTTATTTCATGGGTACTATTCACAAGTACTGTTCACAGGTACTGTTCATCGGGATAAAACTGTCATTACAAATTTTAAGTTAATTTAGAATATATGGATCAATGTATTATTTGTTTGGAAATTTTTGTACTTTGAATATTAAATTATAATATATAAGAGGTGTTGGGGCCTTGAGTGTTAGGTTTTGTGGCCTTTAAAGACCTAAAGAGCTTGTAAATATGATGCTTTTACAGTGGAATATGCACTTCAGTGGGATTGTGTCGACTGACCAAGGGTTGGACGGTTTATGGCCCTGGTCATGTCCAAAATCCTTACCCCCTCTTTAAGAGCAAGTCTAGCACTTGTCACCACAGTGTAGCATTGAGCATGTGGCATAACCGAAAAATATTTGCAGTGGGTCATTCCTTGTTGAGATCGGAGAGATGCTCAGGGATGATGTTTATCGGTCAGGAGAACTGTGTGTGGTTATAGGCATGTGAAAGCAAGGGTCAAAGCCTCAACAACCATCAGCACGATATGTGCACATGACAGCCGCATTACTGGGAAGCAACCCTATGGAGGGGCTTGTGTACATGTGCATAGAGAGAGCCCCCTTTTGTACTGCAATGACAAGTGTTATACTTGCTCTTATAAGAGAGAACTGAAATCCACATTTTAGGATTATGATCCCACTGTTTTTTGTCCAACTTTAATAAGCCAATCATGGCTTCTGCGGTGAGTGGCATGCCTTATTGTTGTTATTTTTGACCCAGTAGTACCAGTCCACTCCTAGTATATTTCATTTTGATGTTATAACTATTTTTATAAAATTTTAAAATATTATTTCTACTGTAATATTCATCAAAAGGGGTGGTATGTGGTCCTCTAAAAAATACACACACGTGGGGCTGAAAATCCACGTGTGTGTGTTTTTTTCAAGAGTGAGGACCACATATCACCCCATTGATGAATATTACAACAAAAATAATATTTTAAAATTTTGAAACAATATATAAATATTATAAAAATATTTATAATATTAAAATAAAATATACTAAAAGTGGATTAGTACTAATGTGTCAAAAATAGCAACTCGTGTAATATTGGTACCAAGGATCCAGCCCACGTGTGTATATTTTTTTAGAAGTGGCGACCACATACCACCCCTAGTGGACCACATGCCACTTTTTTTTAAGGAGGCAAGCCACTTTTTGGGGTAAAGGAGACACAAGCCCCATATTTTCTTATTGTTGTTTAAATTTTGAATTGGTTAAGATAAGAAATCTATTTAATTTTAAATTGGATTTGGTTTCCTATCCTAGTGGGAGTTTTTAAAATATAGATTATCCTAGATAATGGGAGATTTAGATAATGATAAGATTGATTATATTTAAAATTTAAAAAGGAGTTGGACTTGGGTGAAAATCTAAAGGGATAAGGTTCATATCTTTCCACCCAAAATCATGATGGCTGATTTGTGGGATGGATGGTTCTAATTAAATCTCTCTCACCCCACAGATTTCCTAATTATCCTAAAGCTCTAGCTGGAAATTGGATAAGGCATAGATAGATTGGAATCCTATTCGAAATAGGAAATAAATCTTGTTTCTATTTAAACAAGATTTCAGCCCCCTCTCTCATTACAAGAGATTTCTCTCTCATGCCACATATTTCTCTCTCTGACGCCACCCTCTCTCCTCCTATTTTTGTATCACGCCATGGGATGGATCATTTAGGGGATGCGCTTTCACCTTTTGTGAGATATAAACCAGCTTTTTTTGGCTGCTTATGAGCACTTTGGTAGATTGGGACTATTCTTACTAGTTTGTCAAATCTAGATTAACTGTAATGATCATCAATCATGGTTGATTGCTTCCCAAGAAAATATTATGCTTGATTTCTGACATTGTTCTTCTCTCTAACTTGAAAAACTAAGTCATTTCCCAAGGTACTAATTTCTTGCTTTCAAAGCTTACAAAGATACCTTTTTTCTAATTTGTTTGGGTGAGAAGGATATGGAATATATTGATGTGATTTTTATGTGGGGTAAATAAAGAGGATATAAGGTCTAGGGTTTTCGCTACGAATGAAAAGAGTTCGGGATAAAACTTACCTATTGGTCAAGAAAAGCGAGATGATCTTGCTGAAAATATAAGGCTGCTAATATAGCACAGCTTCAAGCCCAATAAGGGGAAAAAATCATGATTCTAAGATTGTTAGGTATAGTTGATGTCCTAGTTTCAAGCCTTGTTTTGATATCATGTTAAAATTGAGAGAGAAGATAAGACAGAGAGTAATATTCAAGCACAAGATTTTGTAAACATAGATGTCTTTTCACACTATACAAATGGTGGGGCAATGTCCCCTATATATATAAATGGATTCCTTACGGGAGTTACAATATGGGTCAACATGCATAGATGTCATAGTAGGAAAATCATCCAAATATAGTAGAATACACATTTAGTACATATTGGGCTTCCAAAAGTGCAGAGACCTTTGATCGATTTGCATTATTACACATGTAGGTTTCCATAATGGGCACGAGGCCCATAATAGTGCATTGCAGGTTTCTTCAATAGCCGTGGGCCCCATAATAATCACAAGCACTTTTCAATTTGTATAACCTGCAAAGTCCAACTTTTGCTCCCTCTAAGAAATCACGTCGCACCTAATTTTTATCCCCTATTCAGAGATTCAGTTTACTTCCATTACCCGCCACCACTCTGGAAAGTGATAGCTATATCTTTTCAGCATGGTGTGAGGGTTCATGGCATCAAGAATTGGTGGATAATAACAATAATAGGCATTGTTTAACAATTGGTTGGATGATAAATAGCAGAGGAAGTGTTAGAGAGTATGGGACAAATCCCATGACGAGGAATATGTTACCTAACACTGGTAGGCTTATAGTACATTTCTACGTAATAAAATATAGTTATAGTACATTTCTACTTAATCGGAAATTTCCAAGCAGAATACAATATAACCATATACATGAAATGACCACAACACACTATGTATAATTTATTTATGGAATTCTAAGACTTACCATGATCATCAAACTTATCGAGGGGCTGCTTCTCTTCCTAGTAAAGAACAGGCTATGGATGAAGGAAAACAGTATTAAGAAGACCCAGACATGGGATCTTTGTATTTTCCTGAATGACTCCCTACTGATTCATAGTATCCAAGGAAAATAGTTTTTTCAGAATCGATGTTGTGCTCCATGGTGGCTAAAGACGACTGCAGATAATTGTTGTACCAGACTTTTCTTCTCATCAATGGTCCATTGCAAATGTTTTTCAAAAAGCAAATATAGTCGCTGATGCCATCGCTAAGAGAGCATCTGCTGGCCCTAGTGCTACCGTGTGGCTCCATCGACCACCAAATTTTCTTTCTTCTCTTTTAATACATGATTTGGCGCAACTGCCCAACTATAAGGTTGTATGATAATTGTTTTTCTCTGCTTTTTTATTAATGAAAAAATGGGTAGGGGGCCTTCTCCCCCACTGACTTACCCAAAAAAAAGGTAAGCATTCCCTTTCCTAGATGGGATTAGTATCAAATTCTCATCGTCATCTACATCTTTAAAGAGTTGAATGCTTTGACACAATAAATAAGCAAGTTGTCCTAACAGTTTGAATAAACATCAGCTATTCAATTGCTACCAGTGAGTTTATGGCAATCATAAGGAAACCAAGAAGGGAGAGACTTTATACTCCATGTGATAACCAAAGCACACTAATAGCCATATTAGCACAATTGAATGGCTGAAACATAAAACTACAATAAATTCATCCAATTATATAAATTTCGAATATTTGAAAGGTTGTAAGTGAGGGGAAAGAAAAAAGACAAACCTCTAGTGGGAACTTAACAAATGCCGACTCAAAACGATCCTTGCAAAATCTATGGAACCAAATGGTCAAAACTGGAAGTGCTAGAAGCAAGGGTGTTGACTGAGCAGCAAGCTTTGTACTTAGCAATCCCAATAATAGCAACTGAGATATTACTAAGGCAGTAATGATACGACCGTGGACATCAGGCCAGAATGCTGCTCCACTTTCATATTCTTGATTATAGACATTTATAACCTGCAACATAATACAAGGAATTGATGAGAGAGGAAACAAATGACTCAAAATCCATAACCAGATAATTGAAGAAAATGAATATAAATGAGAAAAAAATGCAAATTTAGGAAAATAAAGTTTCTTGTTAATGACATGGTCCTTCGATGATTTCTTAATAAACAATTTAAAGCTGTTTTCTCCGCATTTCAATTTTGATTTCTTAATAAACAATTTAAAGCTGTTTTCTCTGCACTTCAATTTAGTAGGCTAGACGATACTTATGCCCCACCTTAAAGGCACATGCTTGTCAATGCATAATACAAATAAATATGCCTTCCTATGTTAGAAAAACTAAATATGCAATACATCTCCCAACAATGAAGCAAAGCCATGACCAACACCAAATACCTGCTACCCAATCTGAACAACATATTACAATTACCCTACCTAGTAACCTATTTCCCCAATGGCTTAGAGATGGTTATACCCATATCCATTTTGGCGCCATAAAGCTAGCCCTAACTTTTCATGGAAGGAAAAGAATGGAAGCAGTTTCTCGAATTGCTTTGCTAGATTCTAGGTTTCTAGAATACCAGCATGCATGTATTGGAATTGTACAAAAAACCTTGAACGCAGGAACCATATTTGTTACCTTTTTCCCAAATTTAATATCCCTATCAAAGACCCTCATTTGGATTCAACTTTCAAAGTACAGTTACAAATTACAGGCACCAAACAGATTGAAACAGCCACTGTAGCTACACTCCATTATCAAATGGTGTACAGATTACAGAACCATGCTTTTGACATAGCTAACCCTTTATCCCCAGAACAAGAAAATACAACATTGTTTAGCAAAGTTGATAACAATTCCCAACCTGTCTGTCATTATATTCCTAGACAAATCTCTCGAAAAAGGTTACTGGAGTTAATTCCATCTACATGGGTGACAAACTATGAAACTTTTCAAAACCAAGATCAGTCATTGATGCAATCAGATTCTAGCATGACTAGAATGCCAGATCGAACTGTGCGGATAAATTTTCAAAATCAAAGGATAATAGAGAACCAAACCAGTGAAATATTTCCTACTCAATTTCAAGGATTACTACAAAAAGTCTCGGTCATTGCCTTTGATAAAACAGGAAAGCCAGTTTATGAACAAAACACTTCTGATGGCCATACCTGGTTTAACACATGTAATTGCTCTTCTTGTCTTGAAGAAGATTTAGATGATTTTCCAAAAAGAAAAAACAAGAAGAAAAAATCATCTCAACAAAAACTTCATCAAAGATATATGGAGGGTGATTCATCTGTTGGATTACTTGGAGAGAGTTCAGGAAAATGGGATTACTATGTAACATATGGTTGTTCAAACCCACATCCCAAATTGACTGTTTCAGATATCATCCCTTCAGGATGGGATGATCCAGAAGATAAACAGATTCCAGAATGTTTAGCTTTTGATCCGCAAAGTTCAAATTATACCTCAAATTTTCCCCCTCTTCATGATTTTGAGAGACCTCAAGAAAATGAAAAGCATATATGGAAAATTAAGAATCCCAACATAAGATATACTACTGGTTTACAAAAGACCATTTCTCCAGCCGAAGCTAGTTTGAAATGGCAAGCTGAGAATGCCAAATCTCAGAATTTAGCACTACTTCGGATAGAAGAGAAGCAAAATGCAATGTCTACTCAGATGCAGGGATTATCAGGTATAATAGTTCAATTAAAGGAAAGAATTCAATTGTTGCATGAAGAATTAGTGCATATCTTGTATACAGTGAAAGATATCAATGAGCAAACTTATTTGCTAGTTCAAAAAGGGTAAGAGAAAGCCTCCTTGGAAAAACAGCAGCAAAGCCTTGAAAAAGACCTTTGGAAATCCCAATACCAATCCCAATATCCTCAACAACAATACCAATCCCAGTTCCAACCTTTGTTACCAATTCCACATACTCAGGCTTATCCCACATTAAGAAGTTCTGATCCTTTTCCTCCTACGAGAACTCTTTACCCATTTTTACCATTAACAACTGTCCAACCTCCTATTGATTCCTAATTACCAAAACAAGAAACCCAAATGTTTCAAAATTCCGATACTGAATCAGATGTTGTGGCTTCTTTTGTTCCAGCTCAAATGGATATTCCTTTTAAACCCTTGAATGATATGAGTTCTTTTCTTAAGAACTTGACAAAGCAGCCTGAAGATAATCTTCTAAATGAAACCCACTCCTCAGATAATATGTCTGCTACATCTGAAGCATTTATTGAAGATACATCTTCCTCTTCTATGGATTCAAAATCCTTATTGATGATGAATCCTCCAGATCAGCCACCTGAACCTGACCCAGTTATGGAAGAAACCTCAGACCTCCTAACCACCAAGAGCCTCAACCAATCCCCACATATGGTGACTCATCCAAAGGCTTTACAATTGATGACATTCCACTATCTCGATGGAATGACAGATTCAGAGAAATCCAAGGATGGATGCATTCTGAAATGCTCAATCCAGCTAATATGTTAGCCAGTACAATTTCTAAGGTCATTGTTAGGTTAAGAGGATGCCTTTTTGACTGGTACGTAAGTCTTGGAGAATACAGACAAATGCAGTTGAGACATAGTGAGTCCATTATTGAGTTTCTTAATTATCTGGTCTCTGAATTCTCAGGCCCAGTGAAACATGAACAAATTGTTGCAACATGTTCAAATGTTGTTCTTTCAAGAGACAGGATCTTGAAAAACATTTTTCAGAAATGAACAAGAGGTACCATAAGATAGAACGAATTGATGATGTTAACTTGAGGCAATTTTACCTTGAATCTGTACCTCCAACTCTTGGCAAAGAAGCTACAAAAACAATGGAAAATCAGGGGCTCACTATTCAAAACACCAGTTTTGGTGAGTTATATCAATTTGTTCTCCATGCTTTAGAACGACTATGCAACCAAGTTGAATTTGTTAAAGAAATGGAAAAGAATAAGCATTTATTAGGAAAATCTTGTGATAAGCCATATCTCAAGATCAAATGTAATCCAGAAAAAACCTACTTGGAAAAGTGACAAAGACCTCAAACAAAAAAGGAAAAAGAAAAAATTCAAAAGATTTAGATATCTCAGAAGATCAAGATTTCGGGATTTCAGACACAAGAAAGGAGACAGATGCTATGTTTGTGGCAAAAAAGGACATTTTGCAAAAAATTGCCCTAATCAGAAAAACGATCCACCTCCTGTCACAAGTTTTGGATGAAGAAATTGAAGATGATCTAGAATCTGTATTCTCTCTCGATGATGAACCGACTCCAGAAACCCTATTGTCTACTGCATATTCAGATGACAATGAGGTAAATGAAATAAGCAACACATATCTCAGAGATATTGTCTCCACAGGAAAATCATGCACCCCAATAGCCTTGATCCAAATACTTCCTGAGCATTATGCCAAACCTTTGTCCATAACAACAATTTTTGACACAGGACCATCCGCTAGTATCCTAAAATCAGATTTGCTGCCAAAACAGTTTTGGGAAACATGTAACCAAACCTTTCGAGCTGCTAATGGTGAAAAATTTACCATAAACTAGATTAGCAAACCCATTTTGATAAAGCTTTTTCTAAAACTAGTTATCCAGCACAAACTGTTAGGATCCTATTTACCCAACAAAGAACTTTTACTTGGATTTGATGTCTTACACCAGGTAAAACTCCAGTGGACCTGCAAAGGATTACATTATAGGAACCTAACCTTACCTTGGATTGCCTCCTTAGACCAACCACACAGCCTAGAAACCATTCAACAAAAAATTTTGTCAAACTGCTGTGCTAATTCTTACACTAAGTTTCTCAAAAAATGTACAAACCCTCTTTGGAGAAAGCAGAATTTTTATGTTAAATTACCTTTCAAGAAGAATGAGGACATAAATCCCACAAAAGCTTCCCACAGAGTTTTTAATCCAGATCTTTTGGAACAAAGCTAAACTAGAAATTCAAGATTTGATAAAGGAGCAATTAATCGAACCTACCAGTTCTCCTTGGGCTTGTGAAGGCTTTTATATAAATAAAAGGGCAGAACAAATTCGAGGAAAACTTAGGTTAGTAATCAATTATCAACCTTTGAATGCATTTCTTGCAGAAGATAGATTCCCCCTGCCAAACCAAACTGCACTATTTTCTCAAATTTCTCATGCACACATCTTTTCTAAATTTGATTTAAAATCAGGATTTTGGCAAATAGGAATTCATCCAGATGATCGTCCTAAAACAGCTTTCTGTCTGCCAAATTATCATTTTCAATGGACTGTCATGCCTTTTGGTTTAAAAAATGCACCTATATATTTTCAAAAAGTTTTAAGCCACATTTTTTAACCAAACTCAACACAGGCATTGATATATATAGATGATATACTCCTCTTCTCTTCTGATCTTGATAGTCATATACTTCTATTAGAAAAATTCTATTCCCTGTGTTGTAAATATGGTATTATGCTTTCTGAAAAGAAATGTGTTTTTGCTACAACATAAATTGATTTCCTTGGTATGCATTTCCATAACGGAATGTATAAACTTCAGCCTCATATAGCAAAACACTTACTACAATTTCCAGATATTCTATCTTCCGTAATGCAGATTCAGCAATTTCTAGGAATTGTAAATTATATGTCCCCTTGTATTCCTAAGCTTGCTCTCTTCACTAGTCCACTCTATCTCCTTCTGAAGAAAAAAGCACCACCATGGACAAAAAAAAACAGACTGAGTGCGTTCTTGAGCTCAAAAGATTTTCTCAATATCTTCCTTCTTTAAAAATCCCATCTACAGGTAAAGGATTTTGCAAACTGATGCTTCGGATGAAATTTGGGCATGCATTTTACTTGAAGAAAAAGATAAAGAACGGATGATTTGCGGATATAAAAGTAGAAAGTTCAAAGAATCTGAACTTCATTACCACTCTACATTTAAAGAAATCCTTGCAGTTAAAAGAGGAATTGAAAAATTCCAATTTCATCTAATAGGACATTC